TATTAAGTCAATGTAAGTCAAATACTCTTTTTGACTTATGAGCACACTTTGGCCAAAGATTTCATTATTGACTTAACTGAATAAAATGTAAATCATAATCTCTTAATATATAAGAGTGACAAATCTTATATTGATCATTCACAACTTTTATTTGATTCTTAATATACCTAAATGATGTCATATTAGTGACTCTTGGTAGAGAAACATTCAACTTCATCAAAGTATGGTTGTTCCCATATAAGGTACTGTGATGATCTCAAGTAAAGTGACCAATTTCACTATTAAACTTTAAAAGTTAATTACTGATACTCAGATAGTTATTTGTGTGGAATCTCTTCAACGGGCCTTCAATGTTTTGATCTTTAACAAAATATCCAAGTGCTCATTTAAGTGTCACCACACTTTTGCATGTGAGGTTAGCTACTTACTACACAAATAAGAAATGCCTCACATATGGTCTATTCGTAATAACAGTATTCATATCTCATTCATACTTGTCATCACATATAATTTAAGATTCAATAACATGTAATTTGTATCTCACAATCACAAATTCTTGTAATTAATAAGTTACCAAAACTTGAATATATGAATCCATTATTTAATTTATTAGAATATCAATTCAATTAAATAATAGATATGCTATAAATAAAATGCATCAATCATTTATTAAAAGTGTTTATGTCCAAAATCAATTGAACCTAGGGCATAACACTTACATACCTCACCTCTCTTAAATTAGGTAAATAATTGGTCTCTACCTAATAGAGGTGATAAGAATATCACTCTCTCACTCCACCTGATTACGATTCTAACAGATAGAGGTTTCCAAAATATTTAATCCCTTTATCTCTTGTGATCTAATGCTATTTCTCCACATCCTCATTACATGTCACCAATGTACCATCAGGCATCTATTCTCAATATTACCAGTTTGTTTACTTATTACTAATGCATCTACTAAAGTGAGAACACACCCATTGTCAAATCTCACAATAGTAATCCCAACCAGTACACATGCAGCACGACACACACTAACATGATCACTCTTAAATTCATGTAAGTGTACACATCAAATATAATGAAATGTACTATAAAACAATACACCAGAATCAAGCAATCATTCATACAATTCACACACAAATACAAAAGCACTAATATTCACAAGAGTGTTTATTATCAATAAGCCTCACTCGAATCATAACTAGACTTTGTGACAGCATTCGTTTCACTGCTCATCTTTTTTTTTGCTTACCTTTCTTTTTAGGACAATCTCTTATAAAGTGTTCAGAATTACCACAATCCAAACATCGCTTACCATTTTCTCTCGACTTAGGCCTATCTCTACTTCTACCTTTTTACTACCCCTATCACTCGAGTCACCATTGTCTTGATTTCCCCGATTCCCACCATGCCAAGCCTGAGTTCTACTTCTAATAATGTAAACATAACCTCTACTTCTCCCTTATTTTTTCAACTCTCGACTCCATATCCTTACTTTTTAAGGAGTCTACAAAATATCAATTGTTAAATTGTCATTCCCATACTCAATAAATTTTTCGCATCTTTACAAGCATCAAGAATAGCATTTAACAAGACAATAGCCTTTTATTGTTCAAATACTTTTTCACCATTATTTATATATCTTAAGCTAAAATTTTAAAGACATTCAAATTGTTATCCAAATCTCTAGAGGAGTCAATTATAAAATTGAAAAAACCTTGATTATGCTCAAAGAGTAATGCGGTAGTTGTAGCACAGTTTTTAGATGTCAATTCCACAGGGAGATGGACGAATTGTTTAAAGGATTTATCGAACTAGGATTTCGTGAATTATGTGAAAATAATTTGTCAATTGGAATGAGATTTAATTATCAATATGCGAGATTAGTGAAGCGTCCGAATTCTTTCAATTAGATTGGATCATCAATATCAATAATTCATGACTTTTTACTCAATTAGAGGTTTTCATCCCAACTCTCTAATCGGAAGATTTAACAATGAAGATCTATCAAATTTCAATTGTAATCCTAGGATCTAGACTTTTGTAAATCGTTCTCATACATGTTTATTGGACCAAAATTAAGAATCGACCATATACACAATGCATAAGACATAAATAATCCACCAATAAAGTTGATTAAAATTGAAATTCAACAATTAGTTCAATTCCACAATAGAAAAAAAACATGTTTGAATTTAAGAAGAATCTAGTAAAAGCTAAGTCAATTCCAAAGTAAATTCATAAAAGAAAGTATAGATCTAGAAGTATTTGACAATAAAAATACCAATTTGTATGAACAAATGATGTGAAGTCACCAAATCCAATGAGTTCCTTCGTAGCTTCACCTAGGAATTTAGTTCTCCATCGAATTCTTTAGCCCAAGATGAGAGAAAATTGTTATGAAGGTGAAGAGAGGCGTGTTCTGTCTAGTCTAGAGCTTAAAGCCATGTGCCAAGTTGTTTCCAAAAGAGGTTGAACCGAATAAGGAAACTAAATTTTCCGCCAGAATATTATGTACGACTATTTTCAATATTTTGACTATAACTTTCTCTCTCGATGTCCGTTAAGGTGATTCAACGTGTGTTGGAAAGCTAACACAAAGGGCTACAATTTTGCTAGAAATAACTTTTTCCAAATTCGAAGGTTTACTAGGTTAAAAGTTGATCTCAATCTCTGGCTGAAAATTTGGAAAATCGTTATGTGGTTGGAATTTGATTTGTGAAAATATTAAGATTATGTTTAACTTCTTTTGACTTCTAATTGCACCCAATTGACCCATATCATTCTCAAATCATCATTCCATCGCCCGTCTCATCTACGGATTAGTTGCAACTTGATTCTTGAACTTTCACTTTGGTCATTTTTCACTCATTTCTTTCGAGTTTCGCCTTTTTCATCAAATTGCGACCTAGATCAAAACATAACAATAATAGGTTCATTTTGGCATAAAGTAATCGCACAAATGCAACAATTAAGAGGGGAAAGTTATGATATTTTGCACTCGTATCAAACCTTCAAGTAGAAAAGGTAAATTTGGACGAATTTTTCCAAACATTTTGTATAGAATCTTGTTTACTAAATTTTCTTAAAACAAATCATAAAGACGTAAAATAATAGAAGTATAAGAAAATTCATCATTTTTCTTTTTCTCATCTTCAGTTAAAGTTTCAGTTAAAGTTGCAAAAAGAAATCTCTGCCAATTACTTTAGAAATCTTGTGTTGAAGAAGAATGCCTTTTGTCTTTTCCTATCGTATTTAAAAAAATCACATTTGCCATTAAGAACATCAAACTCAAAATGTGTCATTTTACTCAAAAGATGCACAAAACACAAAGTGCAAATCAAACTTTCCTAATTTCAGAATATACACCGTTCTAGATTCCTAGGATTTCGTGAGGTTTGCAATCTCAAATCAAGAAAATGGTCAAACGGGTAAATTTAAGGTGATAATTCTAAGAGAATAATCAACGCAATAAAATCGATTGAAAAACCTAAAGATCAATCTTGAAGAAGTTAAGATGCAAATTAGCAAATAATAATCTAGGTCTACCATTGATTACCCTCACATGATAGCCCCAAACCTAATGTCACTATACATGATGACCTCTAATACGAAAAGTAAATTGTTGTCCTGCACAATATCCTTAATTGCAATAATAATAAAGAAATAACATGATATCGAGCGGACCGATATGTGAGTTTGTACATTTAAAGAGAGATGCAAATTTTACAACTTTAGGGCCATCACCATTTGCCCTAAAATTTTCAACACCAATGCAGCAAAAATTGATTGGCAACCGAATGACTAAGAGCAAAACTGTTTAGAATTAGTATTGCTTGAAACAGAAAACAAACACCACCAATAGTATTGCAGAATAGCTCCGAACAATCTATCTTCAAGGATCATTGCCGAAAAATGTTGCATGTGGGCTTATGTACCATCGATACCTCTGCGAGTGGTCTTAATGTCACGTCATGTTGAAGCCGCCACGAGCTGTAAGCATCGGTCAGTTAGTTTTACCTTGATGTCAAAAGTCGGAATATGAGCTCCATTCCTCCACCAGATGTTTGGATTTGCGGGAAAATGGTCCGATAGCCGTAGTTTCCATGAATTTCTAGTGTTTTTCATTTTTCTACTACTTCATACCAACCTTCGCTTTGATACCAATTGTCAATCAAAATTGCTCCCAAATGATCTTCAATAATGGTCAAGAGCAGGCTCTATTTGATCAACCACGAGGTTACTCCAACAATTGACTCTCAAACTCATATCACTTGTGTTGCCTCCTGTTTCCTAGCCCACAAAGAATTTAAGGCCCTGTTTGAGTTCCATTTTTCATCAAAATACATTTTACAACAGTAATTTGACTCTATTTTAACAACACTTTTCAATAAAGTAATATTATAAGTAAATCTAAATTTTTTTCTAATTCTTTAACCACGCATATTCTGTCATAACACTTTCAAAATGCTTCTTTTGAAAACAATAGGGCTCAAACAACCCCTACAAAAGAAAGTGACAATTATTTCAACTCACAAATAGAGGGAAGGAAGGAAGAAACCAACCAAAGCTCACAAAGAGAAACCAACCAAAGTTCACAAAGAACAAGAAAAAGGCTGCCTCTTTTCTATCACAATTGCAAAAACGTTAGTCACTGTATTATTATTATTATTATTTTATTTTTTTCAAAGGGGCCAGCCATATATAGTTTAGGGCTGCAAAAAATGGGCCAAACAAGGCACAAACGGGCCATCGCGGGTGATTTGAGCTACTATTTTGGGTTCCACCTTTAGGAGTTAATTCCCTATTTCAATCATGGACCGAAACAAATTAAACTACAAACTTCATTATTTGTAGATTATAATGAGACGAATAATATTTTTTTAAAATAATGAGTGGTTGAAAATTTTTTGATTTATATGTAATATTATTTTATTAAAGATTGCGTGGTTAAAAGTAGAAGAGAGAAAAATTTAATTTAATATAATGAGAAATAATGGACTCAAATGGGGCTATATTTACATGAATATCCTCCATTCAGTAAGAACTATTTGTCTCTCAATTGGGAGAATCCATTATATGAAATTTAACAATGTCCAGTGCTCACTCAGGACGAAAAGGAAATAAGCTATCTATTTATTTCAACTTTCTCATTTTCTGATTTTAATAAACTTCATCACTTTGGCTTCAAATTCTACAAAGGATCATATTTTTCTAAGTCTCTACTTACAGATAAAATAAAAAACACTATATTATGGGATCAATTGGGACCCCAACAGCTCAAATACATGACTTTTCTGAGTGATTCCTCGGATTGCTTCATTTTTTCTTCTTGTAATTTATTGGAAACCATAGAAGAAGACTGGGTAGAGAGCTTCTTGGCCTGAGAGAACGATCTCATATTGTTCTTTGCTTGCTGTTGGATCAATCTGAAAGCGTAATTCCATCTGCAGAAACCCTGATCTTTCAGTGCCTCCACAGCTCCCATACTGGCTGCCACAATCCATGCTTTGCTTGTTGAACTCATTTTTTAAAAGGGAGTTGATAAAACTTTGTATTCTGTAGAATGCTTGTTCTTGGAAACTACAGACACCATACATATATATAATATACACAAGCATACATACAGCCAGCAAGCACAAAACTAGAGGCTAGGGTCCAGCAGTTTTTCTTTTCTGGTGTGCGGTTGTAGGGTTGGGAGTGTATGTAATTACATTTTTGACCTTTTATAGCTCTTGATATGGCCAATTGTTGAGGGGGCACAATTGGAATTAAAATGATGAGTTTGTCTATTATGCGCGCACTGATTTGATTAAAGAAATCTACCTGCACCGAGGAAATGAAAAGATGGGCCCGCCGGGGCAGGTGGTGAAACCATTTATTTGGAGTTGGACAGCTATTGATTCACCTTAAGATTTGGATAAGGTCACTTTAATTTCTTAATATTTAATATCAACGAAAACTTTTTAATAAAGTTTGAAATGATTGTTTATAAATAAGTTCTAATATTTATGAAAAATATACTATTAAGATAGAAATAAACTATTTAAGTGTATGTCTAATAAACACTTACCGCACGTTGTTTCATCAATTTGAATGACTAAATGAAGGATTCAAGCTATGTTTGATTGAATACTCACCTACGATGTTCAAGTCAATTTGTATTTTTATATACAAGTAGTTCTATTCAATGACAATCTCAAATGGTCTTATTCAACAAGCATCGCATAAGTTCAAATGATTGTCATTTTGACAGTAAAAGAACATAACATTATTTACCGACTTCGTTATGTGTGTCTTTTCGTCCAAAAGAATATGTTTATCAATATGTATCGCTTATAAATTTTATCGGATAGATTAAGGACCACATCGTTGCGAAGCTCAATTTGTCTAGAGGTTATCAACGTAATTGACTAGTAAATTGCACATCTCCAATTTGTCGTTACATGTAGAAACTGTACAATTAGTTGTCCCAAAACATAAAATTGAGCTACAAAACTTTCAATGCCACACCCATTGTTCACGGAAATGAGATGCAGAAGATATAATATTTGATAGGTCAATCATGTAAACCCTATATTAAAATGGTCAATTTGTGATATGGAAACTTGTTACTTGGTTGATATGGGAAGACTATGACATTGAGAACTACTTTGATAAGATAATCGTCCAACTAATAAAAGTATATCTTTTTAGGATCATATTTTAATATCTCCGTCCCACAAAGATACATTGATTTTTTCTTTTTATTTGTCTCAAATTTTAGGTCACTTTCTCTATTAAGAATATAATTAGTGTCTTAATTTTTTAATATATCTCTATTTAACGTGTCTCAATTTTAAAGTATGAGCTACTATTATTCAATGTAGTATATTAGAAAAACGTGTGTAAAGTTTATAGTTTCAACATATATTAATTAATTTTTTTTTAATCCGTGCGAAAATAAAAAGAAGTGATGGAGGTAGTAATATTTTTCAATAAACTAACACATTCCATTAGTAACTTAATAGTTTACGATGAACTAATCTAATAACTTAATAATTTACGTCTTACGATAAACAAGTTAAATGTTTCAATACTACTGCAACTTGCACCATTTCACGGCTTACTCTCCAAATTTTCAAAAGCTTCCCATTAACCATTGAACTTTACTCCGTCATCATTCATTACTCAAAGTGAGGACGCCGTTTGAGTTGATATTGACATGGAGGACGAAATTATGACCTGTCCAGCTAACTTCTTCCAAATGGTAAGACCTCTGCCTACTTAGCACCACATCAGAAATTAGTCAATCAAACTAGAGATGGAACGAGATATGCCTCAGTGCCCTTATCCATCCCTTGCCTTATCAATTCTCTGAACTCGTGTTCAGTGCTCTTCAACGTCAATGGTAAACTAACCACAATTCCACACAGGTAAATCTTCATGTGGCTAAGATTTATCCTCATCTCTAAACTAAATGCAAAATACTGTGAAAAGTCCTTATGTTCATCCAATTCACCTGTCATTTCCCTGTCAAAACACCTAAATTCAGGCTCGAAATTGTTCTCGTGCTGAAAGTGAACAATTCGGGACACCTTAAAACTATTCCTACAGCATCATCTTTTGAAAATCCTAAGGATACTAAATAATTCAGCTTAGGAATCAACATCTTCTCTACTGGAATACGAAAGCAAAATTATCCATAACGTAAATAAATTCTTTAATTCAATAAATAAGATTGTCTAGATATTCACGTGTATGTTATATCAAGAATAAATTATTTGAATTTTTACCTAAATTCGATGATCTATTCTTTAATTAATCATGAATCATGAATTTTCAATTTTTTAATTTTATGTCGAGAACTTGATCTTTCAAACTTCCAAGTCTTCTATGGTATTATCCAACGTAAAGACTACACTGGTGGGTGGGCAACTTCTTTTAATTAAATCGAAAAATTAATTATTGAATTGGACAATTGATAAAAGCGATAATAATCTTCTCCCTCTCTTGCCTCTCCAACTTTGAATATTATGGAGTTATGTATTATAATTATTGTACGATTTTTATTTAATCTCATAGGATGTCTAAGTTCAATCTAATCTCTATTTATAGAGGTAGAATAGTTCCTATCATTGTACAATAATAATTTCACATTCAAATAAAAGTTCTAATTAAAATTCAAGTTGGAGTTTTAATTAAAGTCCAGATCCAATTAATTTACATTTAATTACATGTGTAGTACTAGAACCTCAATTACAATTATAATTAAGTTTACAACTTTCATAGTAATTAAAATCAAGTACAAAACTTTATTGTAATTACAATTAAGTCCAAAACTATCACAATTACCGTAATTAAGTTCCAATAATTTATAGAGTTACCATAGGGACATGATCGGACATATATTAGCCAAACTCCAATAAATAGATTTTGTCTAGTCGACCTATATCGTCCAACCTAATTATTAGTTCTTTGCTTTTTTCAATAAGGCAAAAAAATTGAACTCTTGGAATATATAAGATCACAAAAGTCAATAAATCGATAATACTTTCCCTTGACCTACAATATATGTTTTCTATCTTTGTTTTCAATAAGGAAAAAAGTTGAACTCTTAAAATATATAAGATCACAAAATCCAATAAATCGGTAATACTTTCCTTTGACATACAATATATGTTTTCTATCTTTGTTCAAGATTTGATAATGAGGTACAAGCATAATTGACCATTTTCTTAAGTATCAATTTCATCAAGGTCCTGTAAGCTAATCATAGATGTTGAAGTTTGACCATCGCTAAATATCAAGCTCAGATTTTAACCGTTCAACAAAAAATACGTTGGTTAATCTACACATTTTTTATGGTGATGGTTCCCGACACGAATTTATATACTTCGCTCATTCTCAAGTTTTCAACACATTGAGATATTTGACCCATCAAAATGATTTCACCCATTGATGAATCGAAAAATCATTAAAATTACGAAAATATATACATAACCCTGTCAAGGTAGTTAGACGAAATACACAGTGATCAAGTGAAATTTAATTCTTTGCACGATCATGTTATGGAATTCAAAACACTCCAAGTGTACTAGTGTCGCCTTTCACTATTTCTTTGAATCGGTCAATACAACAACATTTCAGTACAAGGTGTCAACCCTTATACATTAGTTGATATAAGTTGTGTCAGACTATACTTTTCAATGTAAGTATCCAATTTATATTATCACGAGTGATCATTGACATTTTAATTCACATGTTCAATAATAAATGAATGCAATAAATTAATAAATAAAATTACAATTTATTTATTATAAATTATTATTTTATCATAGCAAAATATACTATATGGACACATAATCCAACATTCTCTACACTGGAACTAACAAAATGGGATCTTGATAAGCCAATGAATACATATCCTTGAAGCCTAATCTTTGAAGATAGAATAAAGCAGGTTTAAGCCCGTCTCTTACACTGGAAATTTACATTCTGGGACATTTGTTTATCACCTTTCTTGAAATTCTGGTTAGGGACTTTTAAATCATAGAATAGAAAACTGGGTTAAGGTCAATTTTAATGTCGAATTTTTGAATATGGGGCCAAATGTCAAAGATTCTGCCTAAATCCTTTTGATGGATGTATTTTGATCGGAGGAAGGTGATGATTTCGATAAGAGTAATGCTATTTAGCCCCACTAGGGTTCATCCCCAGTCTAGGTGGCGTTAAGGTAGCATTAAATGATTGGTGAAATTAATGACTTATTTAATTTCACCTCTCATTTAACCTATCATCTAATGCCACCTAGACTGGGGATCTATCCCCACTGGGGCTATATAGCATTATTCTTTCGATAATGGAATGCAAAGAAGTGATGTGGCAAGAAGGGTTTTGGGAGAGTTCTCAACCGAAGTCTATGACCATGATTTCGAGGCACAAGACTTTGTCCTTGAATTAAAGGGAGATTTTTGAATGAGTTGGTATATAAATTTGGTAGCACATGCCAAATATTTTTGAATGAATTTGGGGGCACATGCCAAAGATTGTGCCTAAATCCTTGAATTGTTTTGGGTTTATTTGTTAGAAGATTAGATTGTGATTTGGAACTTGAGACTCCATATGGTGGTTTTTGAGCAGAGAAGCATGGTGAAGAACGAAATGGTGGCGTTGCAGTTGACATGGTGGCTCTATCACTGTAGAGTGGAGATTGTAAGATGGAGGCGTAAGTGAGGGGAAGAGGAGAGTTTTCTGACATGGCGATGACATGGCTTAGAGTAGGTGAGAGTGTAACTATTTGGAAGGAGTTAACAGGACATGTCATACTTTCGTCCTTCATGTCAGCATTAATTCAAATGATATCCGTCGAGTGAGTAATGGAAAATGACGGAGTAAAGTTTAGTGACTGACATGGGACTCTTGAAATTTCGGTGAGTAAGCCATGACATGTTGCAAAATTTAGTATCCATTGAAACATTTAACTCTACGATAAACTATTCAATCGTGTTAATAATCAAAATAAGGTAACTAAGAAACTATACAAGTTTCAAACCCAATACTGAAAGAAGCACTTCGTAATATTGACAATATAGACTAGCTGGAAAA